CAATTAAAAAAAGGAGACGTAACAGTATCAAATCCTCGTGATACAGCAACATTTTTACGTAGTTAATTTCCTGTTTGATTCCTTTTTAGTTTGAGCATACGCCAATTTAATTTCTTGTAAACACCATTTTTTGGGGGAGTAAGCATGGTTTGATCTTTTGTGAGGGAATAGACTAACAATGTTTGGTTTTCAACAAACTTTTCTTTTTATTGTGTCATCGAAATTTCTTGTGAATAAAACATTTAGAAAGGCAATTTTATTGTCACTTTTGGCTTCGTAAATGAACTGTATGGAAGAGTAAATGAAATTTTCTTAACGAGCAGTCATTTTGGGGTATAACAGTGACAGTGTCATCCACGTAACGTGTGTAGAAATATGTTTTTGTTCTACTTTGTTGAACAATTTGTTTTTAAAGTCAACCATGAAAATCTCACAAATAAGAGGTGATAGATCGAAGATTTCCCATGCTGAGTCTTTGATTCTATTGATAATGTTCATTGTTGAATTAAAAATAGGAGTTGTTGAGTCATAATTTTATCAGAGTAGTGATTTCTTCTTTTTCCGCTGGAGATATGATTGCCTCGTCAAGTTTGTTTTATAAAACATCTAGAGCACCAGATAATGAAACTTTCGTGAACAAGTTTTTTACATCAAATGATACCATGTATTTGTCTTTGAGGTTAATGTTTTTTTTTATCTTTGAAACTAAATTCTTGGAGTTCTTTACTGTGTACTTGTGTGAGTCTTGTAGAAATGATAGTCTTTTGGTTAAGTATTTGGTAAGGAGTAAATTGGATTGTTACTGCATGCAATGATGGGTCTGAAAAGTATCCCCTCTTTATACAATTTGGGTAAACAGTAAAATCTTGGAGATATAGTGTTAGAAGGTAGGATATTTTTTATTTAGATAAACATATAATGCTCTTTATAGTAGTTTCTATTTATTGTGGGATTCTTTTTGTAGGGTCACTTTTTGTTTTATGTATGTACCATCAGACAGTAATTATGTGTTTCTTCCTTATATTGTTTTTTCTTTTTTTTTTTGGTTGAGAATAAAAAAATTTGTGAGCTTTGTTAGATAATCTTCATTTTCTTGTATAGATTTTAGAACTTCCTGTTCATGTTTTGTTAAGTTATTTTTTGGTTTACGGCTGTTGTTCAATATTTTATACGTTACTAATCTAATACTGGATTGAGTGATGTCATCTAAGTTATGAATGTCTGCTTTTATTTCTTAACCAATTTTTTCTAATAAAGGTTGACTCGATAGATTTCCTACGGTATTAAGTAAAACAATCCGTTTAAGCATCGGATCACATGAAATCACTTTTGTTGGTTAGAGATGAAAGTTGCTTTTCCTAATTAATTTTCTTATTGGATACAGCTGAACAGGTTTTTTGATAACTAACTGTGTCTATATAATCTCAGTGAATAGGATTTAAATGTTTTGTTAGTTCTAAGTGTAACTTGTGCATTTCTAATTCCATCAAAGCGACTAAACGTCTTTTTTTCTTGGACTCCCTTCAAGATTTTCACTTTTGCAGTTTTAATAACTTTGGATATTCTATATGTATGATTTGTTGTATTGCAGTGTATATGAATAACTTTGGGAATCACTTTACTGTCTGTGCAATCTTTGAGGAATTTAAAGTCAGTTACATTCTTCTGTAGTGACGTACATAAATCTTTAACCGGTGGAAAACGGAAAATGTGTTCCGTATTCGTGAGATAGACCGTTTGATTGAATACTAGGCTTAAGAAGTACAGTACAACTAGGCCTAAAAACTCAGACACGATAATGTAAATGGCCTAGTTATACTTTACTTCTTAAGCCCTGCCCTTCCACTGGATACTGGTGTTGTTGCATTGCAATGCCAGGATGTGTAGTTGGTTGATCCTTGATTGGGTTTGAATCTGGCACAATGCATATGCCTGCATAGGATGGTCTGTCCCAGGTGGAGTCACTGCAGTTGCCACTAAAGGCTTCTTCCTCTATTGTGACTGATTCAAAGTTACCCATTTTATACTGTATCATAACAGAAACTGCCCCATTAAAGGTGATAATATCTCTTACACTGAGGTGATGCCCCATCACCTCACTGGGTAGGTCTTCCACAAACTTCTCAAAGAGAATATCTTCACAATCTGCCAAGGTCATTGCAGGGAAAGTCTTACATGGTGTAGATCATCCATGTAAATGGTCAAACTTTCTCTGGTACCCCTATCCTGAGCCTTGAATTCAACCAAACTGATTGCTTTATTTTCAATCAGGTCAAGCGTATGATGCAACTAAGTAATGACTGTCTTACACCCCCAGATTTGCTACTCATGCAAGAGTTCAATAGAGTATAAGGCTAAACTTAAAACCAGCATTGCACAGCCTGTTACAATGTCTAATCATTTTAGGCAGTAACATACCTGAAACACTTCAGGAAACAATCCAAATCTTCCTTCTCTGAACTATAAATGTTAGCAGAGTGATCTGTTTTGCTTAATTCATGTGGAACCATGATCATGGCAAGATACTTTCCTTCACAACTTCCCAGTTATCATCTTCTGACCACAATTTCCTCAATATTGTGGCCTGAACTATAGGTCTCACAGACCCTGACAATGTGACAAGTGGTAATGCCCTGCTCTTTGGTGGAAGAAATACAATGTGCATTTTGTCCATCAGTTCTGCTCAACTCTAAGTTCCTCCTTAACCCTAGTGCCATGTGTATCATTCACTATGCATGGCACAGAGTTTTTAGTGTTTTACATTCAAATTTTATTAAACTACTTTTTGTTTATGTTATACCATAAAATCTTAGCTAATAATCCATATTTTAATAGTATATCAATTTTAAGTTCTTAATTCTATTAGGTAATATTTTAAAAAATCCTGAATTGCCCCTAGTGTGACACACGTGACACATTTTCTCTATGTATATTCTATTCTCTGTTTTATGCACCACCCCTTCAAAAAATACGAAATCAAAAGTAAATTACTCCCTATAAAATCGTCATTGCTGAAACAAAACATAATTTTTATAGCCTTCAATTTTGTTTGGTTACAGAGCTATCAAATAGAAAATCAGACCCCTCCTGTCACATCCTGTCTTTGAGGATTTGTTAATAGTTCTCTCTTACGTTTAATTATATATTACCTGTAACCAATAAAATGTCAAGGTTTTCATCTATCAAATGACGTATTTTATCACGCTGTGTTCTGAACAGAATATCGTCAATTTCACTTAGAGTATAAGATTAATTTCCATGGGAATGTTAACTGTTCTTGTCGCATAGCTAGAAAGCCAGACATTTTTTTTTGAGTTAGGGAAAATTGTCTACTCTTTGCATTTTATTAGTCTATGTTTTTTGGTGCATTATTTAATTAAATAAAGATTATTGAGTGCATTACCACCATTAGTATGAAAAAG